TAATTTTAAGGCTACTAATAGCAGCCCTTTGACAACTGCTTCCTCTTCACTCTTTCTGCTGCTGTTAAAGGGAGTATTAGTTCAGGAAATGTGGCTAATGGTTGATTATTGATAGCTATTGCCTCTCTCATTTCTTGTGCAGAACACAAAGTAATAATCGTGGGACTTGACAATGCTGGAAAGACTACCATTCTTTACCAGTTGTAAGTATATGAACTATTAAACTTTTGTTAGATGAACTATTACACTTTATTTATGTTGAATATATTGTGTTTTACAAGTCATTTGTAATTTTGCTTGAAAGAACTTGAAAATGCTGGGGAACCTAGAACATGGGCTCAGTCATCATGTAATACTTACATTTATGTTAAACAGTAGACACAGATACTGAGAAGAGTTGAGTTGCATGCTAGTTAAGCACTCCTAAGAATTAGAAGTGTGAATGAATAATTCTGCTGTTGAGACCTTTGGTAATTGATGAGAGGTAAAATTGCCTTGGTGGCCAGCAGCAAAAGCATCACAAAAACTGTTTTGCCATGTGCATAAATGCACATGGGAATTTTAGTCCACTTATGAAATCCATGCATAGATCATGATTATTTTCAAAGGAAAGGCTTTGATATCCCTCCTCAACCACAGGTCAGGCACTGGTGAATCTAACAGTTCCTTCACAGTAATATTGGACTTACATTGTGCCTCTATGGTTTTACAAAAATGCCTCTGATCTTGCTGTAGTTGATATCAAAACAAAATAAAACAATCCACTGTCTTTTACAGCAAGGAATGCACAAAAGAAATCAACAAATAATTACAAGACTATTACCATGGGAGTAATGGTCCACATGTAAATTTGAAGATGGTGAAGAATATCTTCCTTCAGTGTACACTTCCCAGACAAAAAATATCTCTATTCTAGTCTTGTTTTAAAGGTGATGTTGAAGAAGTATTTTCAGTGAAGGATACGAAAAGTTTTTCAGAATCTAGTCTGAAATTGGTTAAGTGTTATATGTTACAGAACCTGAACATTGTGTTTTTAGATAGTTTTACCTGGTCCAAAAGTGTCATTTTATTATTGGATTGTTACAACTCTTTTGTTTTGAAATTAGTATGTTTATGGGTCTATTAATTTAAGTGAAGCTTCACTCTAAAGCTACAAAAGCCAGTGCCACTTTGTATTTTAGACATTTATATTTGTGCTTAATTGTTTACATCTACAGTACCTGCTTCTACAGAGAGTACTTCACTGATTTTTATCACATAAAATACATTTATGTGATGTCTTTTATTGGACCAGCTATGTAGTTGGGAAAGCTGTTGAACAAGCGTTTTAGCATTTGGTGCCCTTTTTTCAGGTGACTTGATGCCCAAAACTTTGTCCAGCAGTTCTCCAAACTACGCAGTTGGTCCAATAAAAGATATCATAAAAAGGCCTTTCCTCTCAACTGTTTTTGAACCATCATGGCTACAGTGCAGCTGCCATCCAAACCTGCTATGAACCCAAGTACATTTTTTCGAAGTTAAAAGCTAGGATATACAAGGTCTGTTCGAAAAGTATTGAGACTGAATGTGTATTTTGGTATAAGGTATTGGCGGGGGGACGTGGCTTTGCTGAACATTTCTGGGCATGTTGGGACTCCTCTGGACAGGTCTGCAGCTCATGGCATTTCCCCAGTTTTCTGTGGCCAACAGTTGAAGTAAGATTGTTTGTATCTCGGGTCCCCTTTCGTTATATCAGTGTGTCCAGAACAACGCATGTGCATTAAATTTTGTATGAAAATTGGGGAAAATGGCAAGTGAAATATTTGAGTTACTTATAGTGTCATCACCAAATGCTATTTTGAGCCATGCCAGAGTTTTTGAATGGTACATCAGCATAAAGAAGGACAATCATCAAGCGAAAATGATGAGCTTGCCAAACACCCTTAAACATAACTAATGATGAAATGTGGCAGCGGTTCACGGTTTGGTTCGAAAAGATAGGCGGTTGACTGTCAGAGAGATAGCAGAAGAAGTTGGAATTTCTGTTGGTTCATGTCACTCAATTATAACCAGTGATTTGGGAATGAAACGACCAGAAAAATGACTGGAAAAGTGGGTGTCTGACTCTCTTGGATGCTTCACCATGACAGCATGCCTGCCCACTCAGCACAGCTTGTGAAGCAGTTTTTAGCCAAATTTTAGCCAAACGTTGTATCCCCCGAGGGCTACATATTTATCTGATGTGGTCCCATGCGACTTCTTTCTCTTCCCTCAACTAAAAACCTTGAAAGGAAGAAGATTTTGTGATGTGGAAAACAAAATAAAATGCAGCTGGAACTGCTTTTAGCGATTCCACAAATTACGTATCAGAGGTGCTTCCAACAATGGCAGAAACGGGAGAAGTGTGTGGCTGAAGAAGGAACATACTTCGAAAGAGATTAAGCTGAAACCCCTGTAAATAATTTTTTTTGTTTCCAACAGCATTAGCCTTGATACTGTTTGAACAGCCCTCAGAGAGAGAGAAAGATTATAGTTTTTAACTTCAGATAGGTAGATAGACATATCACAGCCTTTAATTTTACAGTGTGTGTGTGTAAAATTTCTTAGCTTTTAACTTTTGACAAATTATAATTTTATAGTTTACAGGTTTATAAGGTTTGGATGGTAGCTGTGTTGTAGTTGTGATGGTCCAAATAGTTGAAAGGAAAGGCCTTTTTATAAACCACGCTCGCGCACAAGCGCACACATTTGCAAGATTTATTTTTTTTCTACAAAAATTAAGGTGAATTAATCTTTTCCAGAAGCTATTTTGTCATTGTTTTTAAAAGTACTGAAGTGGTTTGTCTTTAATATGACAAGACTTTCAATTGAAAGAACTGATGCATCAGAAAGTGTTCCAGTTTTTGTTGAAAGCTCCTCTAAAATGTTACATTGTTTTCCTTAGCTTAATGAATGAAGTGGTCCATACCTCTCCAACAATAGGAAGCAATGTTGAAGAAATAGTAGTAAAAAACACCCATTTTCTAATGTGGGACATTGGAGGGCAAGAGTCATTACGCTCATCATGGAATACTTATTACTCAAATACAGAGGTATGTTATACTGCTTCCAAACTACAATTAAGTTGTTTTTTTTAATTAAGTCCTGGTAGCTTGGGTTGAAATTATACGTGTTGGAGAGAGTATGGTCTTGTGCCAAAAATTAGCTGGTGTTTATGGAGAAAATGTACAGATCATTGTCCATTTTAAGAAAATGCAGCTGTGCCACAGTGCACGGACAGTTAGAGAAGTTGAACATGTGGCAAGGTATTGTAAGTAAGTGCAGAAGCTTCTGTCTCCAGAGGAGCCACCACAATGCATTGTTTTGTTTTAAGTTGAGCTAGAACCTTTTTCCAAGTACATATTGCATATAGCTTATGGTAAAGATGACAATATATAGTAGAAGGCTTCCAGTTGTAATGGGAAGGAGTTAATGGGTAGCAAGAAAAAGTTTGTAAGGGCTGCTTTTTTTTGTAAAAGACCCACATAGAGAAGATTCAGACTGCTGTCTACAGATATTAATTAATTCATTTATCAAACAGACTTATATGTTACACTAATTTTGTGATAATTTAAGCCAGTCTCAAGCCTTCATTTATGGGTTGTTTTTTTTAATGTTTAGAGTTGTCAGTACTGTGACTTGTCATTTGTTCTTCAGAATAAATTTAAAAAGAATGTTCTGTAGTGCATGGTCACTATCACAGAAGCTGACTTTTGCTATTGAAAGTGTCATGTTCTAGTCATGTCTGATGGTCACAGTATTCAAAAATTAACCAGAGGTGATTGATGAAATATACCAGCTAAAGGAAGATACAAACCTGGGTATGAAAAGAGGGCTGAGCCCAGCTGACCTGCGGGTGTTACTGAGGGTAGAGGCAGAGGGGCAGCCTGGGCTAAGGCCGCAGGGCTGCGTGGCCAGATTGCTCCCAGCTCCATGTCCAAGCTGGGCTGGGCTGTCATGGAGCCCCAGCAGGCTGGGTAGGACCCCGCAGGCCTGCCCATGGGGTCAGGGCCCTTCCCAGCCTGCTGTAGCTGCATGACAGCCCAGCCCAGCAGCACAAACTGGGGCTGCCTAGGGAGTGGGCTTCCTGGGCCAGCTTGGAGGTGCTGGAGGGCCCCAAGCCTAGCAACCACCACCGCACCCCCTGCCCTGTGCAGCACCCAGGGCTACAGCTGCACAGCCAGCAGCTGGGGGGTAGAGGAGGGGGAGGCTGTTCTGCCCCACTCGCCTCTAGCGGCCACTGCCACCACTGCACCACACTGCTCTGGGAGGGGGAGAGGGGGTGGAAGCTTCAGTTCCACGGCTTCTGCCTAGCGCGTCACTCCGGCTCCAGCTCCCGAACACCTTGGAAGGCAGAAGGCACCTGGGGGCTGTAGCCAGAGCTCCATGTGCAGGGGCTGAAGCTTCCCCCCCCTTCACCTCCCGGAGTGGTGCAGCAGCAGCAGGAATGGCTGCTGGAGGTGAGGGGAATCTGGCTTGACTTGGCCTGGCAGGGCTGTTTTTTTTTTCTCCTCGCCTCCAGGTGTGGATCCTGGTCCCGTCACACCACACAGCGCCACTTGGAGTAGGGGAGCTTCCTTTAGCCCAGACACTTCAGTCCAGCTCAGGTTGAAGCAGCTAAGCTGAAGGAACCTTCCCCCGCCCCCCACATTCGTGTTGCTGTGCCGCTGTGAGTAGGGGGTGGATGATGCTTCTGCTCAGCACATGGAGCTCTGGCTGCAGCCCCCCAGATGCTTTCCAAGGCATCTGGGAGCTGGAGCCGGAGTTCCACTCACTGGGTAGAAACCACAGAGCTGAAGCTTAGTCCCCCTCGTCCTCCCTCCCAAGCAGTGAAGGACAGCTTTGTCCTTGCATAGGGTATGGGATGCAGCGGTGACTGCTGGGCTCAGGTTTCTGATCACTTAAACCAGTTTATGTGAATCTTCTGTCCCTAGCCTAGAAGTCCATGATCATAAGTGCTGCAAAAATATGTGGCTGTTGTCCCCAACATATACCATCTTTTTATCATGTAAGGAAAGGAATTCTAAATTCTGCTAATGGCAGGTAAAAGTAAATTCCTAAAATGGGAATCTTACTCTAGTCTCACAGAAGAAAAATATAGTAAACCACTAGTTTGTAAAATTGTAATACTTTTACATGAGACTGTCACTGGCAAACTTGCAGCATTAACAGCTGAAAACATGCAGTTTGGAATTTGAATATCCTTCTGGAAGATTGCAAGCAACTTAGCCCTGCAATAACACCAGTCTTGGGACTAAAACTACAATTGTAGTTCAGCAGTTTGTGTGTGAGGAGTATTTACATGTGAAATGCCTGTGGATAAGGTACCTTGTCTTTAGATTAAGAGATTCTGTTCAGTTTGTGGATTTGGGTAGTCTGATTCTGTTGTGCATAGAAGAGCTCTTGCTTACCAACACTTCTCTGGCAGATTTATTTTTAGTTTGGCCTACAAAGAAACATACTTATTTTAAGATCGTCTGAGTTAAGCTTTTACTCTTCTTTTCTCTAGTTCATCATTCTTGTTATTGACAGCATTGACAGAGAGCGGCTTTCTATCACAAAAGAAGAACTTTACAGAATGCTGGCCCATGAGGTATGTTGGAATCCCAGGTTTTTAATGCATGTGACGTGTAAACTTCCTTTGGTGTTAGCATCCAAATAAGCATGCTTAATTTCTTCATTAAAAACATGTACTTTTACAAGTAATCATAGAAATTGATGAAACATTCTTTTTAAGAATGTTTACATTGCAACTGTCTGGACAGGATAAGTTGAAAAATATAAACTCTGTGATCAAAGACATCCGTAAGGCACATTTTATTGTAGGAATATAGCATTTTCCTCTATAAAGACTACCTAGAGTATAAACATGCTTTACATTTTTTTTTGTTTTTGTGTGGATGTGGCATTCTTTTTTCTCTTTTTATTAACTTTTTAAGTAGATCAATTTTAGCATATACAGGAAACCCTTGCTATTCACAGTTTCAAATATTCATGAATGCCAAACCCGCATTTTAAATGCACTTTATAGACTTACAGGAGCTCCTCAGGAGCTCTGCACTTGCTGCCGCCGAGCTCCACACTTGCTGCCACTGGGCTCCCGCTGCCGGAGCTGTGCCCCCCCCTCCCCTCGCTGCTTGGGGCAGTGCTGTTATAAACTGGTTAGGGGGGATCAGCAGGCGCTGGGGGAGTCCCTGTTCCCCCGAGCGCCACAAGGAGTGACCAGGAACAATGGTCACAAGCTGGCAGAGGGAAGGTTTAAGTTGGACATCAGGAGGCTCTACTTCACGGTCAAGGCGGCTAG